CAGAAGCAGAAGCAAGCACCTATCCTTCAGTTTGTGTGCTGTGCTTGTTATCAGTGTGTGGCAGATGTGGATTCTGATGGGCGTTGTTGCATCAAATGCTGGTATTCGTTTGACTGAAGGGTCATTCAGCAGGACCTCCCTCTGGCGTTATTATTATTATTAAAGTGTGTTTCAGTGGTTATAGATGCCTGCAGAAATGAAAGTGCTTCTTCTGAAAGAGCCACGAGACAGTGGAGATGAAGCAGACCCTTATATGAAGGTAAAGCTGATTCAGTGCTGGGTTTAAACTCACAGGAAGTGTAACTTTGTTGCTAAATGTAGCAGCTTTTTCTTCCAGAAGCACCTGGCAACAAATGTAGCTATTTTAAAATTAATTTAGCAACTTTGACTCAAAGGATAAAAAAAAAATCTAAATTACACAAAAAGAGAAATCCAAAGATGCCTAGCAGTACACACCTCACGTGAATTAAGTTAGCTGCTATTTTCAGTTCAGTTTAATAATTCTATTGCATAGCTGTTCATTTATGTTACACTTTGTTAGTAGCTTGTACTTGCGGTTGTTGATCAGCTAGTGAGAAAAAAATCTACAAAAATAGAAAAGGTACTAGTAATTTTCCAGGGCATTATCTATTAACCGTTGTAACCTGAAAACACAAATTACAATGTGTAATTAAAAATGCAGTGGAAAGATGCTTCATTATAACATAGTAGCTTGTCTTAGCGTGTAACATACTAACTAACCACTTAAAAATATAATTGTTCAGAATGTGTAGTTTTAGTTATTTACTAGCTGACAAAAAATAAATGTAATAGAAATGGTTATTTACATTTTAATATGCATTTATATTATTTTACGAACACGTAATGACGTCATGGCGCAGTGACATTATTGAGCAACTTTTAGCAACAAATCAGCCTTCCTTTAGCAGCTTCCCCTGGACATGAGTTGGCAACACTGGTAACAATGTGGCTGTTTCTTCCAGGAATTGGCCTCTTGTGGACACACGGCTGCTTTGATTCCGGCTCTGTCCTTCAGATCTGTGTCTCTAAACGAGCTCTCCGAGCGGGTGAGTGTGGAAGCCCGCTTCTGAAGTGTCCAGGTGTTGTTGTGGTTTGTTCGATATGAACTCTGTGTCCTTCTGTTGGGGAAACACCAGCTCTTTGAGCCCGAGAGGTTTGGAGGCCTGATCTTCAGCAGTCCCAGAGCCGTGGAGGCCGTGAAGAGCTGCTTAGACTCTCAGAGACACAGACACAGTGAGTCTGGATCAGCAGATGCTCACAGCCTTTGCAGTGGCTTTTGTTTTGTAGTTGATGAGTGATGCGTGATTTCTTTGTTACAATGTCACAACATTACATTTTCACAAAAGAGTAACTCTTCCATATGGGATTTGTAATGAACGACTGCACTCTCAGAAAAAAAGGTACAAAAGTTGTCACTGGGACGGTACCTTTTCAAAA